GGAAAGAGACAAAACAGTCTACCTGGATTTCAGCAAGGCCCCATGGGTTTCTCTTGCTACCTTCACAGAAAAAAAAATATAAGAATTCAAACTGGATCAAGGAATAACTGAGATGAGATTAGAAAAACAACATTACTCAAAATGTAGTGCTACTCCTTCTGTCCTTAATCCTTTCCTATATCTCAATTAAATGACTTGGACAGGAACAAAAATTGGAGGCAGGCTTATCAAATTTGTGGATGACAATTTGATGGGATAGTGAATCATGCTGGCAGCAGCAGAAGAATTTTAAAAGCCCTTTAAAAACAATCTAACAAGATGAAACTTTACAGGGTAAGAAGAACTTGTCCTTAGGTACCTAAACATACAGAGCAGAAGATGAAAGACAAACTGCTCTGCATAAAGCACTTTAAGGGTTTTTGTTGACAGTAAATCTAACGGTAGAAAACTGCAATGCCCCAATTTTAAAAAAAAGAACATAAATAAACTTATAATGTGTCCACAGATACACAATTCCAGAAGAGTGAAGGAACTAAAAAGAATGAACAAATGGAGACGAGCTAAAAGGAACCAGTTGGCATGAGAGGAGGAGGTCTGAAAAACTGGGCAGGAAAATGGTCTTCAAACATCTGAAACACTGTCCTGTGGAAAATGCTATTTTACTGTTAAATGGAGATGGATGGTTCTCACCGCAGGAATTTCAATCCAGTAAATCTGAGCTAGAGTGCAGGTAACTGTTTTTCTAACAACCACCCAAACGGTTCTAGGCGGTGGTCCATGGGCCAAACTTTGAGAAACCTTACACTATACGCTCCATGCTACACAGTGAGAACTGTTCACGCCTTAGCTTAGAAACTCAACTGGCAAGAATATTTTAGAAGGATTCAGACATCATAGCTTGTTGAACTTTGGGTCTTCTTTAAAGGTAACTTCCAATACCGCGATTCCATGACGTGTCACGTAAAAATACTAACTTTCAAGCAGTATACTCTAAATGAAAAGTGAACTCCTACTCACAACTCTAATATCATATGATTCAATGTCAAAGTGGCATTTCACGAGAAAATATCTGAGTGTAAACCATACAATTCCGGTAGTACATGGATGGTCAAAACAGACTTCGTATCCACTGGACAACTATCAGATGGGTATATTAAATGATTCCTTCCACCAAGCAATATGGCCAGAAGACACTAGTGTCATTATTCCCTGCACCAGAAATTTAACTAACTCAATTAACTTTCTCTACCAGCCAACAGATTTTAAAATGTAAATGTGATTAAATTCCCAAAGAGCCTAACTCAGAACACAGGCGCTGAACAACACACGGGATTTAAGGCGAGCCAAGTGCACCGGGTCGCGGGCCAAGGACACTCGCCCTCGTTATCAGGAGACCTGGGGGGAACCCCAGGGTTTGCAAAACTCAAAACTGCAGTGCAGGGGAGGAAGGGCAGAGGTGGTCCGCTACCCAGGTAGGCGCGCTGGGCCTCTCCGCGCAGGACACCCGCAAACGTAGGGCACCTCAGCTAGGCTGCCGCCGTAGAGGCGAGGGCACATGCGGGGCCGGCGAGGGGCACCCCGCCTGCGCTGGAAAGGAGCGTCCACCCGGACTCACCTCCTGGTCCTCGTTGGCACTCATCGCGCCGGTCACGGGGCACCTCCCGGGCGGACGGCGTTCGCGACAACGAAAATAAAGCGAGGGCAGTGACCCCAAGGCCGGGGCGTCCCTCTTCCGCGCCTTGGGCTGCTGAGGCACACCCTTAGCACTCGCGGGTTCCCGGTCCCCGGGTAGCGCGAAGCCGTCGGCGGAGGACTGCAAGCGGGAAACCAGCAACCTCCGCAACAGGCGAGCCAGCGAGTCGCAGGAGAGGCAGAAAGGCGGTAACGGCAGAGATCCCGCCCCCTCCTTCTCGCTTCTCCTATTGGCTCCTTCTCTCCCCGCCCCCAGCTCCTGCTCCTCTAGGAAGCGGAGCGTCTTCCTTACGTTTCGTGGAGCAGCGTAGAGTTCCTGGACGGCGATTGGCCTAGAGCGCTGTCGGTCAAGCCCAGAAAGTGCTTCCTGTGCCTGCGCGGATGGGCACTGGGAAGTCTCGCTTGTGGGTACCGGAACAGGGGCGGTGGTGGTGGTGGTGGTGGGGACGGACCCCGGCGTTTTGTGACACCCCGACTACCCCGCCTGCTTACCCTGGTTCTCCCCCGGCTGGCGGCGACCGGCCATAGCTGCAGCGGGCTCGGGGCGTGCGGCCTGGGTGAGTCTGGGTCGGGAGACCAGTGGGGCCGGGCGAGACCGCCGAGGGAGATTGCTAGCGCTTAACGATGCTGGTTTGGGGGGCTTGTGATTTCGTACAGCATCAGCGAGTGCATTTCTCTTTTAGCTTCTAAAGAAAAGACACACCTATTTCTAGGGCCTCCAGGTTTAAGGGGGCGTAGGGGAGGAGAGGAGGAAGATAGCGTCTGCCTTTAGAGCTGCAGCGTTTCTTCATTGGAGCTACCGGAGCAGGATTCTGCGACCCTGGGGCGGTATCCTTTCCTAAGTTGGGCTGTTGCTTCACATCCTCAGCATCAGCTTTTGTTTCACCATCCCGGCCCCAAACTGTCCTTCCTCTTTTAATTGTTTTGTAGTTGGACATCTTTGAATCCCATCCTTACTGGCCTTGTGTGCTGCATCCCGAACCTCCGTTAATTAAAAAATAGTGACTGCATTATTTTTTTTAACCTGCCACTTTCATTAGGTCACCTTTCTTTGCAGTCCGTCATTCTTTCTAAGAGTTTTCCTTATAATTTTATGACCGCGCCAGCTTCCAGACGACTTCCATTGCACTACACGATCTCCCATCCAGAGGGTTCGCTTCCTACTTCTGCACCTCCTTCCAGGTCACAGTTTGGTTAGTTGCTTCATTGGTTTTTTTCCAGGAGATCTGGAAATTTCTCCTATAGACTGTCATCGAGATCCATGCAACCTCTGCATTTGTCCTTTGCTGATATTCTTCCCATTTTTTGCCGCCTAATAGGCACAACCATTTCAAATGCCAAAGCTTTTAAGGTACAATGTGGCAAGAATTTCTGATACAATTTTCGTACAGTTATTTTGGGACAGAGTTACCAGTAATTTAGAGCTGCACTGTCTGGTATAGTAGCCAGTCGCCATAGGTAGCTATTGAGCATTTGAAATAGGCTAGATGTGCTCCAAGTGTACAATACACACCAGACTTTGGAGACTTAGCATTAAAAAACGTAAAACATCTCACTAATAACTTATAATAATGTTGAGTTGATAATATTTTGGACATATTGGTTAAGTAGAATATTATTAAAATGAATTTCATCCCTTTCTTTACTTTTTTAATGTGACTACTAGAAAATTTTAAATTATTTATGTAGTTTATATTATATTTCTCTTGGACAGGATTGTGATTTTAAGTGATTTAAACGTCATTTCTGTTTCCCCTTATTTCCACTCCATAGTCAAAGGACACAGCTAATTCTCTTGAGCCTCTGGGGTTATTAAAGGAAGTGGGTATTTAGGGCTCTAATCTAGACTCTTTGGGATCAAGCAGTGGTACCTAAATTGTGTTTTGACCATCTCTTTTTTATTTTCACCCCCAATTCACTAGAACTAGAATCTGCTTCTGAACATGCAGTCCTTTGCCCTCGTACCTTAATCCTGTCCTCAGAATATCCGTTTAAGCAATTCTAAAACTTCTGTCTATTGTGGACATTTGTTGTTTCTGATAGGCTTTCCAAACCAGTTATCTAGTACCCATCATTCCGTCAGTACTTAAATGTGAGAAGCCTAATAGTCTTTACTAAGTTAACTTTTCAGTTAAAAATACTGTTTTGCTGATCAAGTGGTGGCCTGAGTGCTCCTAACTTCTCACAGAAGTTGCATTTGAGTCTTGTATGATATACTGGTGGAGATCACCTTTTAAACCAACCATATGATGCATGTTTTTGAAAATGAGAAATTATTCTTAAAATATAATAGTTTTGTTCACAATAAACACTTTTATATAATGGCTTTTCAAAACGTAGTGCATCTTGGATTGATACAGACCACTTCTCAGCTAAAGGGCACAGTAGAAACATGTCCTCCTAGAGGTCCATTCATTATTAGCTTTTCCCTTGTAGATTTTCCTTTAAGTAGTACATTTGTATTAATTGTGGAGAAATGAGAAAACATAGCTACTTAGATAATTAGCAGATTATTTTAATGATATCTCAGGAAATCGGAAATTAGATGTTAGCAATTACAGAGAAATTAGAGATAGTTGCACTTTATTGTATATGTAAGTCAATCATTGTTTTTCTTTATAACTGAAATCAGTAGTTTGATCACCCTCCTGCTTTCCTGGTCTGCTTATCCCAAAGTTTTGTGTGGTTTTGAGATGTTACTGGAAATAGTGATTTGTCTTAAAGTTGACTGCAACCCTTGTATATGAAAGATTTTTTAAAATATTATACCAATAGTTATTAAATTTTAATAGGTCCCATTCAAGAATTAAAGTTTGCCCTTTTGCTCTCTTCTTTTGGATTTGCTTGACAGTTTGTAGACACTCAAAGACTTTCGCCTTTTTGTAATATTTTTCAAATGGTGGAAGTTCATATGTTAGATGTGGATGTGGGCTTGTAAGAAATTAATTATTAACGTATTAACATTTGTATTTCAGAATTTTCCTGACACCTTGAACATGAGCCCCACACAATGGGACTTCCCTGTGGAATTATGTTGTCGGCCTATGGCTTTTGTTACTCTCACGGGCCTGGATGTGGTTTATAATGCTGTCCATCGAGCTGTCTGGGATGCTTTCTGTGCCAATCGGAGGGCTGATCGGGTACCGATTTCTTTCAAGGTGCTCCCAGGTGACCATGAGTATCCCAAATGTAGACCCAAGGTAATGACATTATGATTGCAAGGGGACTCTCCTTCTCCATCTATCTCTTTCTTTGCGTTTTTGTATCTTTTCTGTTCCTATATCTGCAGGAAAACCCCTGAGTTTATCAAGGGTATGGTTACAGTGGTGCATGAAGAAAACTTCAGACGTTTTCCTGTATGTAATATACTGCAGATGTATCTAATAATCCGTTTTTTTTTACTCCAGAAGAATAATAACTTTATAATTATTAAGCTTTCTATCCTATGAGCCTAGGTTTTCCATTTTTTATTTGTTGTTGAAAAGAGACCCCAAGGCTCCATAATTTTTTTTTTTTTTTTTTGCGTACGCGGGCCTCGCACTGTTGTGGCCTCTCCCGTTGCGGAGCACAGGCTCCGGACGCGCAGGCCCAGCGGCCATGGCCCACGGGCCCAGCCGCTCCGCGGCACGCGGGATCCTCCTGGACCGGGGCACGAACCCGTGTCCCCTGCATCGGCAAGCGGACTCTCAACCACTGCGCCACCAGGGAAGCCCAAGGCTCCATAATTTTAACAAAGGCCTCTCTAAAAGGAAGGGCTCACATTCCCCACTCACCATTGCCAGTATCATTATAAAATCCATAGTCTCTGCAGTTTGGTTTGATTTCACAGACATATTTTGAACACTTGGTTTGGTTTAGAGTACCTGGAACTATGCAACAGGCTGGTGATAGAAATTTAAATAATACATACTCTCTGTCCTTGATGAGTTCTACATAAACTAAAACAGTTTATTCAGTGTGGAATAGGAGGGGTATTAAGTTCAAAACTGACTTTTAGAATGAACATCACAGTAGAGACTCTGATTTACTTAGGAAAAAATACTTAGAATGATGATAGTATGAATTAATAATAGCAACTCATACACGTGTATTGCTTACTATGTCAGTTTGCTTTTTAAGAAAGTTGTGTACATTGACTGATTTGTCATTTATTGTAATCTTTTCAGGTTGGTCTGAAAGTCAGTTAATAAGACACATTGATTAAACTGCCTACTTTTTTCCCCCCCTAGAGCAGTGTTTCTGACAGACTAGTCTTTGGACCAAGTATATCATCACCTGGGGTGTTTATTAAGCATGTCAATACTGGCTGTCCTCAGTTAAACTCGGGGGAGCGTAGGACCTGTAGATTTGGTCACCTGCTGATTTTTTTGCATGTGTTTGAGACTCACACACCACAGACACAGTTTCATATATCCAGCGCCAGTAACTATGAGCTTTCTCTGAAACTGTGGGGGCAATAGCACCCCTGGCTCTTAAACACTTTTTTTAATGTGGTGTTTGTGTCAAGGAAGACCAGCGGCCCAGCACGACTCACCCCTTTCCTCCTGGATTCATTCTTCAGAATCCTCCTGGTTCTTTCCTGAGTTCCCAAGGTGTTTTGTGTCAGATTTCCTTCCTGTCCTCTCTTTCCTCACGTGGAATAACCATTGGACCAGCGTGAACTGGGGTAGTCTGGCCAGTGCGGGTGCTTTGGGGGTAGTTTGAGATTTCACCCTGGTTCTTCAGGGCATCCCTTCCCCACGACGTGGCACTTAGCGCTGACCCCCAGTGACTGCCCTTAATGCTTCTGTATTTAAGAATTGTCCTTCATTTTTTTCTTTCACCCACAAGTGAGGTGTAATGCCATCCTGGTGACACAACTTTGAAGCAGATGAAGCCATATTGGGTTTTAGAGAATATTTGAGCAGCTTTTACAAGAACGGAATCTGGGATGGTGAGGAATATAAGTAGAATTTATTGGGAAGAAGGCTGTTTACTTCCAGGGTATTTGAAAGCCTTGACATCATTAGAAATGCCTTGGCTTGGCCAGTCTTTAAATGGAAATGGTACTGGCTCTAGGGTTGAGATTCTACCTCCAGTACTTGCTAGCTCTTACCTGATCTCTGTAAGCCTGAATGTCCTCATCTTAGAAATGCGGCGTGTGTATACTGAATGAGATAAATACAGAGAAAGTGCCTGCACTCCATAACAGGTGATTTCTGCTGCTCTTGTTGTCAAAATACCTCTTTTCAACTTCGGCTAATGTTTGCAGAGAACTTCGTATGAATGGTACATTCCCAAAGGGATCCTAAAGACAGGCTGGATGAATAAACATCTGAATCTGGTGCCAGCCCTGGTGGTTGTGTTCTACGAACTAGACTGGGATGAGCCCCAGTGGAAAGAAAAGCAGTCTGAGTGCGCGACCAGAGTGGAAATAGTTAGGTATGTCCCATTTGTCAGGTTGACTGTGTTGGGTCAAACTCATATCTGGAGTTTACTGACATTTATCGAAGGTAGCTGAGTGCCGTTAAGACTGCGGTAGTCATTTGGGGATCACTGGCCTCCAGTGAAACCTGTTCACTTCCAACAGGTAGCATTAATATTAACTTAAGGAATGGTAAGCAATGTGAAGAAATTTCTAAGACAAATTGACCTAAAGTTCCAAATGCTTTTTCTTGCATTTATCATTTTTTTTGGGGGGGGGAGATATAGTGATTTGCTGTTTAGTCTCATAAAACACTTTTGCTTTGTCACCATTTATTTCAAAGTAATTCTTTTGGATGACTACTCTAATATATCACTATAAAGAAATAAGTTGCAGTGTAACTTTTACATTGAAGTATATGTTAAACTTTTGCCTTTAAAGCAGGTTTTTGTAAGGAACAGAAGCTTGATCTGAGATTATACTTTTAAATTTTAAATCATTGTGGCATGTGTGTTTCTTTGTATGTAGGAAAAGAGTTCCCCCAATCTTGGGGTTTTTAAGTTGCAATTTGTCTTTCTTTGAATTGTCAAGCTTGTATTTTATGTAGTCTTGAATACATTTTTTAAGTTAAAACAGTTTAATTACTTAATTAATTTTATTGTATTTTTCCACTGCAGGCAGAGTTTACAAGGGAGAAACACAAAAGTTGCAGTGGTTCTGATTCAGAAGAAAACCCCTTTGCCCCCAGGTAGCAAAAGGTTAATTAATAACTAATTGATTGGTTTATCCCCCCAATTCTTATTACCAGGAGGCATAGTTTTTAATGTTGAAATCTTTCACGCATTCAGTTATGGGAAATATGGTGTGTTAACTTTAAAAAGTACCAATAATGCATGAGTAAATGCTTATTGTAAAAATTAAAAACATTAAAGAGTGCAGATCTTCTCAAGTCCTGCTGCCTAGTTCCCCTTCCCTCCAGGGAGGCACATGTCAATTGACAAAAGAGTTACTCACTTGATTTTTAAAAAAGAAGGTTTTTTGCTTATCTGAGATCTATTTGAAATTATATTCCTTACGTAATATTTTTTTCTTAATTTGCAGTAGAGCAAAGAAAAATGCTGTAGGATTTCTAATTTCCTATAAGAAAATGTCCTGGTTTCAAATGCGTATTTCTTCTACCACCTCAGACTTTAGAAGCTAAAATACTATTTTTGTTTCTATCTTGAAACTTGAAGCATCTTAAATAGTTTTGGAAACAACTTTCATGAACTATTGCTTCCATTTTTAGTTACGGTTTTGAAACAGTTATGCGGTATATCTGTTGGCATTACTTGGCCTGTCTTAGCCTAGTAGAAAATTCCACAGTGTTTTCCTAACATATATGTACTGTGTAACTTCTAAGCACCCCACAGAGCTCTCAAGGACTCCAGGGGTCTTATAGATGTGGTGAAAAGTGGTTTGGGTTTTTTTTCTTAATTATATTGTACTGATTTGGGGAAATGTCCATTTAGAAAAAATGCATTAATTATTTTCTCTCCTTATGGCACTTGTTGTCAACAGGAGAAGATGTCATTGCTTCAGAAAGGGCTGCAGCCTTGTGCAATGCGTGTGAACTCTCAGGGAAGTCTTTGTTTGTACTGCCCCATACGGACCACCTTGTGGGCTATATTATAAGGTAAATAACCTAGAATATATACTGAATTTTTTAAGTTTTGACTATTCCATTTTATTTCACTTTTTTTACATATTTTTCTTAGATGTATTTAAACCCTTTGAATGCAGCTTCAGAACTCTGTTTTATTCTGAGGAGGAAGAACCTTGAAGTTCAGTCCTTATCTGACTTTGAATTCAGCTTTCTTTCATGCCCTAGGAAGATACTTCTGATATGTACTTATTTTCACAAACAGAACTCTGAGTTGTTTCTCCATCTCTGGGCAAATTTTCTTGGTTCCTCTGTAGTCTCATAGTTATAGAATGAAGCAGGATTTAATTTATACAAATGTTATTTTCATCTCATTTGCCAGTTCTCATTTTTGGTCCTTTTCCCATTATTTTCCTTAATCTTTAAACCCTAAATGTCAGAGTCACAAAAGATAATTGAATCTAGTTGAGTATTAGATATTTGTTTCTTTCATACTTATAAAATTATAAAATAATAGGAGATTATTAGTGATTACCTAATTTTTACAAATTACAAGAAAGTTATTTTTATCAGTTATTTCTTAGATTGTAAAATTTTAAATGGCTTTTGGTGGGTTTTCTTTTTAGATTTTTTTATCTAAAAATTTAGCTTATATTTTGCTTTACTTTTTATCTTAATCATGAAGTAAAGCAGACATTATCTCTGTCAGGATTTTACTTTCAGGTCTTATAAATATGATTCTTGAAAACACTTTGGCTTAAAATAACTTCAGTGTTTGAATGTTGGTCTTTTTTTTTTTTGCGGTACGCGGGCCTCTCACTGCTGTGCCCTCTCCTGTTGTGGAGCACAGGCTCCGGACACGCAGGCTCAGCGGCCATGGCTCACGGGCCCAGCCGCTCCACAGCATGTGGGATCTTCCCGGACCAGGGCACGAACCCGTGTCCCCTGCATCGGCAGGCGGACTCTCAACTACTGCGCCACCAGGGAAGCCCACTGAATGTTGGTCTTTTTTAACAGATTAGAAAACGCCTTTTATGAACATGCACAGACTTATTACTACACTGAGATTAGAAGAGTGAAATCTCATAAAGAATTTTTGAATAAAACAACACACCAGGTACGTGTCTTTTCCTAAAGAAGGAAATAATAGCAGCATTCTAGGGTAGATTATTCATCATTATTTTTGAGGAGATGATTTAATGTCTTTAATGCTTTGATGTTTTTAAATGGCTTCTGTGCTTTTGAAGTTTTTTTTAAAGCTTTTAAAAACTTTTGTCTTTTGTCTTCTTTGCCTTTAAAGCTCTTGAAGATAGATTTTGGTAGCCTTCTTAACTACACTTGTTGACTGGAATAATTCTTGAACTTTAATTTTGGACATTTTCCTTTGTATTTTTAGGTCTCCTCTTAAACATTATTGTAATTTTTACATTTTTAAGAGAATATGTGTAATAATGATACTTTTTTTCCATTCTTCTTTTCAGCTTTTATTTGTTAGGCATCAGTTCAAAATAGCTTTCTTCAGTGAGTTGAAACAAGATACACAAAATGCTCTGAAGTAAGTTTCCAACAGTTGTCAAACTCATTTTTTCTTTATGTTAACAATAACATAGTAGTGGCAATTTCTGAAACTCAACCAAACTTTAAGTTTCAAATGTTTATGTTGGTTAGAATCAGGTTTGTAATATTCACTTTAATTTTTCTAGTTAAATGGAATATATTTGAGTTTTTTAAAAAATATATCCATTTTAGTATCAGAAGTAAATTTTATAGTGTCCGAAAGCTTTCTGGTATAATTTAATTAAATTTCATGATCTAAAGAAACATATTAAAATTTTTCCCATTCTGTTACCTACTTCTTTGTATACTCAGTAAAATCCTTGTGTTAAGACTGATTTTCAGAGTTTCATGTGTATTAAACATTATCTGAATCAGACTGAATTTCTTAATTTTTTTTTAGTTTATAAAACCTGCCAGTAGCATCATTTTTTGTTCTTTTTAAAATTTATTTATTTATTTATTTTTGGCTGCATTGGGTGTTCGTTGCTGCACACAGACTTTTCTCTAGTTGCGGCGAGCGGGGGCTACTCTTGGTTGCGGTGCGCGGGCTTCTCATTTCAGTGGCTCCTCTTCTTGCGGAGCACGGGCTCTAGGCATGCAGGCTTCGGTAGTTGTGGCACACAGGCTTAGTTGCTCCACAGCGTGTTGGATCTTCCCTGACCAAGGGCTCGAACCTGTGTCCCCTGCATTGGCAGGCAGATTCTTAACCACTGCGCCACCAGGGAAGTCCCATTTTTCATTCTAAGGCTCTGCTTAGAGCTTTGAAGAGTAGTTGCAGATGTGTTGGCAGTGGTTAGGCATTTTATCCCTTTGCTTTTATTTTACTAAACACAATTTAATAAAACATCTCTTTCTAGCTTTAACTCAGTTTTTTAAGATTAACAGTGACAGTGTAGCAAAAGGATAAAAACCAGCTATATATCCTAAAACTGGGGAGAGGCTAAATATTCATGGGAGGGTGGAACAGAGAAATAAATAAGTCTGTCATTCAGAGGAATATTGCAGAAACCTCCTCTCTTTTGTTGCTAATGAGGTGCTAAGCACCAAATTGTGTTCTATAAATCTCAAACTTCATATAGTTTTAGTTGGTTTTAATATAGTTCATTTTTTATCTGTGGTATTAGTGAAACACCCTCAATTCCAGTTCTGTTCAAACACAGTTCTGGAAAGAAAAATGTTACGTGGAGAAGTTAGGAGCAAACACTTTTCTTTGGAGAAGACCGAGATTTTCTCATCAGCTTCCATCTTCTATCAGACTTTCCTTTCTCACACTATTCTCTCCTTCAGCGCTAGCTGCCCTAAGGGCATCCCCACTGCAGCCCGTACCCGAGACCAGTGATACCTGTTTCAGTTGTGGAGATACTTTGGTTTAAAGCTGTTGACCCATCTCTGTCTTGATAGCACCTTCTTCGCTAATACAATTTCTATTTGAGAAGCTCAACATGGTACTTTTAAAAAATACTAATTTTTTTTAACAGAACGTTAATTTTGTCATATAACTCTGGACACTTTTCCACTTTCATTTTGCAGCTGAATTCCTATCAGTTATAGTCAGATGTTAATGACAGCAGTGTACAGTGGTTCTGTTCTTAGTGAAAAGTCATTGATTCCTCCCACACATAATGCATCATATATCATTTTTCAGGACATCAGAGATTGTTATGTATATGTTATTACTGAGCTGTTGAGTGCTAAGAAGTGTTGAGTAAATATTGTTTCTGTTATTTCTAATAATTTTGCTCTTAGGAATCTTTTCTTAAAATTAATTTATATCATAATTAACTATCTTCCCCATGTCTATATTAGGAATTATAGGACCGCCTATAATCTTGTACATGAATTGAGAGCCCATGAAACTAATATTCTGGAAATTAAGACCATGGCAGGATTTATAAACTACAAGGTAATAGTTCTAATTCCAAATAAACAAAATTTGGCTTTAAATATTGGAGTATCTTTTTAAAGTTTGGAAATCCAGATTACTCACTTGCTCTGAAAAGTGAGTATTTGATGAATTATGCTATTTTATGTCCTTTATCTCAAGGAGCACCCTGGTTCTTAGCAGCCTAATTGTAATGGTTGGTTTTGAGCTATGGTCCCAGAGTTCTCATTTAGAGGAGTTTTATCTAAAACTCCTTGAGGAGGGCCTTTTGTTTGTTTTTAAGTGGGTGCAGGAGGGAGTGAGAAGAAGGCTGCTTACAGTATTGAATTTTAGAAGCTGCAACTTATTAGAACTGGGTAAGCCTTCCTTGGTTTAATGGCCAGCCATAGAAAAGGTGTACCTATTCCCCTTAGAGAAAACTTTTATATCTGTTGTGTGAGCATTTTAAGGTTGTATATGGTAGAAATAGACACCCCCAGAAGGCAGATGAGCCTTTTTGTTTTGCTTTTAATCTTTCCACGCTCATATTTTAAAGAGGCTGGCACTGGGTTAGTGATGTAAGGGCAGAGGGACACTTTGTTCACTGCTTGTGTAAGTGTAAATTAGTACAGCTTCTATAGAGGCTATTTTTGCAATGACAGTGCAGATTTAAAGTGGATATTCCTTTTGACCTAGGAATTCCATTTTGGGAAATTTATCCCACGTATGTGCTAAGACTTGCAAATCACATATGTAAGGATATTTATTGCCTCTTGTAATAGGAAAAGGTTGGAAACAACCCCACAGTAACTGACTGGTCAATATAAATTATAACTCCAAACAACGAAATATTATACAACTATCAAGAATGAAGCACAGCTCCATGCATTGAAATGGAATGATATCCAAGATATATTGTTAGGTGAAAAAAGTAAGGCACAAAGCAGCATATTTAGTGTGATGCTATTTGTATAAAAATAATAGTTTATTTGTAAATGCACATACTTGTCTGTGGACAGACTATATCACCAAATGTATGCTGGGAGCTTGTTGCCTCTAGAGAGGGAAATTGGATGGCTGTATTCCCTTATACCTAAAAAAATAAAATTAAAAGTGGTAATAAGCATGTGGAAATAAATTTAGGCTTTGTTTCTTCTCTTTTTTTTCATTTACCCTACATACATATAGATTATTACTTTGAAATAACATCCCAGATAATTTTTCAAGAATTTCTGTAATCCTTGTTTGATATGGAGGCTACTGTGCTCTAATTGTTCTACAAGAAATCTTTAGCATTCTGACAGTTCTAAAACTGAAAGTTAATCTGTCCTTTCTCAGTTTCCTGTGGGAAATACTTCATTTTTGCCCGTCTTTATGCTCTTCATTGGGTTTAATATTTCTTTATTCTATACTTTAAACAACTTTGTAAGGTATAGAATAGATTCATCACAAATAGTGAATAATTTTATTTCATTAATCAAAGGGACATAACCTCTGTTTTTAGCATAACCTTTGTAATAGAGAAAATCAGTTCTGTTGCACTTCAATTCTACTGAACTTCAGAGAAGGAAATTCCATACCCTTTTTAAAAGTTAGTCTCAATTTTTATATATTTTTAAATGAATACGCCTTTTGACTTTGGTTTTCTTCTTTACTTTGGGGTTGATTTTACATCTTCCAGATCTGTAGGCTGTGTTTTCAGCACAACACCCCACTGGACGCAATTGCTCAGTTCCGAAAGCACATCGACTTGTGTAAGAAAAAAATCGGAAGTGCAGAGTTGTCTTTTGAGCATGCTGCATGGATGTCTAAACAGTATGTTTTAAATTGCATTTTCAGAATGTTTTTTAAACAAATACTTGGGGTTTGGAGGAATGGAGTTAGCATGGACTTTGGTCCTAAATCAAATTAAGATTTTTGTCACTAAGTAGGTTTTTAATGATCCACCATAAGTATGTTCCCAGTAATGGTAGATACTGATTCATACAGTTTCTTAATGGAAATTAGCTAGTCCTGGGACCATCTCTTTCATTCAATATATATATATCAAGTTTCCACCATGTGTCTAGATACCGAGAATATAGCAGTGAATAGACAGTATCCCTACTGACATGGAACTTGCCCTCTGAGACTGATGACTAAAAACTGCTAAAATGAAAATTTTCCCAGAAACATGGATGTATTGGAGTGGTGGGAACTATGTTGACATCTGGCTTGATGGTATATTTATAAATACCTGCTAACACAGAAGAGTTGACTTAAAGAATTTTTCTGTAACCTATGATTAGTGTGTGTTAGTATTTACAAAGAAATCCCCACAATTAATAGTTCAGCAGTAGCATTATTTTGATACAGTCTGCTGAGGTTATGGTTCCAGGATGAATAACTACTAGAAGTAAGCTGCTTTTTCTTTCTTTTTTTTCTTTTTTTTTCTTTCTTGATTTTTTTTTTTTCTTTAAGATTCCAGGCCTTTGGAGATTTATTTGATGAAGCTATCAAGTTGGGGTTGACAGCTATTCAAACTCAGAATCCTGGTTTCTATTACCAGCAGGCAGCATACTATGCCCAGGAGCGGAAACAGCTTACGAAAACCCTCTGTAACCATGAAGTAAGTCACTGACTCCTGTATTAGCTGGCATTTAGGAAATCTATTAACCTTCTGTTGAAAGAAGATAATACTGATTGGTGTTGATAATTTTTTCCAAGCCTTTGCATGTAACAAGGTTTTATCTTTTATATTTTCAGGAATTAGGATTGTTTTCAGTTTTAGCCTGAGTACTCTATTTTCACCTGTGAATTAAGCAGAAGTTTTTCTTTGAAGAACTGATTTATGATTAGCGATAAGTCAGTGATTTAGAGGAGAGAAAGTTACTTTAAAATAAAAGCCACAGTTCAGTCCATGCCATACTGTAAATCCATTGTTTTGTTTCTGTAATCACTGCTAGAGTTTGAAGGACACAGAAATGCGCTTTATGTTGACCCACTGGAGGGCATAACGTGGGCCTTCTTTCTCTTCCTGGGGTTCTCCTCCATGGAAAACTCTAAAGAATCTGTTTGAGGATGTTAACTGCATATTTTCTTAAACTTGACATATCATTTTGCCTTTCTCTTGGATGATTATATTTAAATACCAGTTTCCCCATAAGCACCTTTAAAATAAGAACATGGTGTGTGTATACAGATAGAGATATTTACATTCACATAGTTATATCAGTTTATTTTCACTTAAAACCTCAGATTTCTTCTCTGAAGATAGGTGAATTTTAGCAACGGTGCTACTTAAAAAACTGTTCAAAAAAAAAAAAAACAGTTTGCATATTAGTACTTTAAATGCTTGGATTTTTTTCCCCTTAAATCATGATATACCTAGACTATTTTCTACCATGTTATTTGTATATGATGTATAATTTCATTGCATGTATTATATTTTAAAAGTTTGGCATATTATATTTGAGCACAGTATTTTAAAAGGTGATTAAAACTGGGTCTTGTATGGATATGAGAAAATGATCATTAGCAAATATTGGCTGGAATGTAAAATAATATTCTGTCAAGTAATAAATTAAGAAGCCTCAAAATCATGCCTTTCTTTTGACCCAGAATTTCATATTCAGGAAGCCTAAGGCAGATAAGAGATCCTAAGAGATAAGTGTTAAAATTTATTTATAGAGTTGTTCTGACAGATTTATTAATTGTAATGTAAAATAAAAATAACAATGTGAACAGCTATAGGGAATCTGTTACAATGTGGAACAGCAGGCAGCCATGAAAAATAACATCTTGGAAGAATCTTTAATGATATGGTGAGATATACAGAATGTATTTAAAAGAAAAAAGCAGGTTGAAAAATTATTTCAGCTGATGACGAATAAACGTTTGCATACAAAATCTGGAAGAATAATGTATATACATTGTTAACCGTGGTAGTAGGTCTATAGGTAATTTAAATTTTTATCCTTTTCCTTTTGGACGTTTTCTGCATTTTTTAACAATTACTTGTATGACATTTTGGTTTTAGAGGGAAAAGTTATAAAAAAGAAAAGCGGTATAAATTTGTAAATTCTGGTGCCAAAAGTATCCTTCCCCTATCAATACCAAGACTTAATACACATGCGATAAAAAAGGAAAATAGTGTCTTCTTTTCAGAACTCCTATAACATTTTTATTTGCGCAAGAAACACTTATACATATGGAGTAACCATCAAATTTAATTTGTAATGTATTTTTACTGGTTTATAAATTAAAAGAAAATGTAGAGCAGTTAGTTACTATGAAATCATTTGTCAGAATCAGGTTGATTTATTCAATTTAATTTTTATAAGACTACCTAATATTAAATGAAACATTTCTTGTTTAATTTTATGGAAATTTAATTTATGTTAAAATATTCACAACTTTGATATTTGAATGTGTTATTCGTATTTATGAAAGCTTTTTTATTCTAACAAAGATCGAGGGAGAGTTGGTTTTGATGGGCTGTGTTTTGATTTACAGACTTCTGTAGCTCACCCCAGTCCTGATCCCCTAGAAACACAGACAGGAGTTCTTGACTTCTATGGACAGCGACCATGGCGACAAGGAATCCTAAGTAAATAATTTTTTCCTCTTTCCCGCACTAGTATAACAAATTATGTTGAGGTAGGGCTTCCCTGGTGGCGCAGTGGTTGAGAGTCCACCTGCCGATGCAGGGGACACGGGTTCGTGCCCCGGTCCGGGAAGATCCCACATGCCGCGGAGCGGCTAGGCCCATGAGCCGTGGCCGCTGAGCCTGCACGTCCAGAGCCTGTGCTCCGCAACGGGAGAGGCCACAGCAGTGAGAGGCCCGCGTACCGCAAAAAAAAAAAATTATGTTGAGGTAAAAATATGTGCTTTTTAAACACTTTTTAAGACTTACTTTAAAAATGTGTTGTTTTTATCACTACATCTTAGAATGACTTATAATTAAAGATGTAGATGTGACTAAAATATTTGGACATCTGTTGTCTTAAATGACACAATTAGTAAGCCACTCTGGTCTATTTAAGTATTTTAATTCAAGTTAAGTTTAATGATTTTTTTATGTTTGCCATTTTAGAACATCATTACTTGAACCACCTTAAAAATGATTTCTCTATCTTTTTTGTTTTATACACACTGAATTTGAGCAATTTCTGTGGCCATTAAACTTTCTGTTAAGAAATTATTTACTTTAATCTACAGGAAATGTATTTTGTCTAGAAAATGATACTGTTATTACTTTTGAGGTGGTTGATTCCATTGGGCAAAAGAGTACAGTACCCTTCAGAACAGAGACCACAGAGAAGATTCCATGCTAATAAAGCTGTCTCTTAGAATCTTTAGAATTCTAGAATGTTTAAGAATCTTAAGTACATTGTATACAAAGGATTCAGGGAGTGTACACATCCAGTGTTCGTGTGAAGGATTTGTGTTAAGTGAGCTATCTAAAATGGGTTGTGTCCTATCTTATATAGGTTTTGATCTTTCTGATCCCGAAAAAGAGAAGGTGGGGATTCTTGCCATTCAGCTGAAGGAGAGAAGTGTTGTTCACTCTGTAAGTCTTTTTTCCAGTATAAACTATTTTTTACAGTATTCCAGGAAAACATGAGATTATTTTTATTGGAATGTTTCACATTTTATCTTTTCTAACAGGAAATAATAATAACTCTTCTGAGCAATGCTGTTGCGCAATTTAAGAAATATAAGTGTCCAAGAATGAAGAGTCATCTGAGTAGGTATCCGTAACATGCCACAACTTTGTGCAACTTTGAGTAATTTTAAATTATGTTCATACAGTCTTTTTTCCTTTATAGTGGTTCAAATGGGAGAGGAATATTATTATGCAAAGGATTATACCAAAGCTTTGAAGTGAGTTCTGTTCACTATTTATTTTTACAAGTATTCTGATTCCCTTGCAGCAGAATTAGCACGGAAATCTGTATTGAAGGATTTATTATTTCCATATTTATTCCTACTTCTCTTAAACACCATTTCCGTGATATTTTTTCAAGTATTGTCTGCTGGTACAGTCATTATCAGAGTCTTAGGAAACCTCTCATTTACCTAATGTGAAAACACCTGTTAAACTATTTCAGTAAGATTTTCTGAAGTTAATATAAAATGAGTAAAGCACTTTTATTTTAGTTTCTCCATGAACTATTCAAACCCTTCCTCGTGAAGCTGTCTTGGCCTGTCTGACATTTTGTCCTCTGTCAGGTTGCTGGATTATGTGATGTGTGATTATCGGAGTGAAGGATGGTGGACCCTGCTCACGTCTATACTGACCACAGCTCTGAAGTGTTCCTACCTCATGGCCCAAGTGAGAGATTACATCACTTATTCCCTAGAACTCCTTGGAAGAGGTAACTTGATGTTCTTTCAGTAAAATTCTGAATCTTTACAATTACATAGCATCTTTAAGCTTCTTTAAATTGGAAGAATAATTCAGTATCAAATATCTGGTAGTACTGTTATCATATGCAAGTCACTTTGTGGAGTGAAGAGGTTTTATACTTTATTGGAACTTATTAGAGTTGAAGGTCTTATTGTAGTTGAGAAAAATCTGCCTTACTTTTTAAAATATGGCATAAAATAATTTTTCACATAGAGTTCAAATGCACATACATAAAGCATTGGGGCTGACTTTTAGAAAGCTGTGCTGTCATTTTTCCAGAGTTGTGCTTAGCTATCTTAGAAGAGAAATTTATTGGGCTTCCCTGGTGGCGCAGTGGTTGAGAGTCCGCCAGCCGATGCAGGGGACGCGGGTTCGTGCCCCGGTCGGGGAAGATCCCACATGCCGCGGAGCGGCTGGGCCCGTGAGCCATGGCCGCTGAGCCTGCGCGTCCGGAGCCTGTGCTCCGCAGCAGGAGAGGCCACAGCAGTGAGAGGCCCGCGTACCGCAAAAAAAAAAAAAAAAAAGAAGAGAGCTTTATCTGCAGGGTTTTAATACCTGAAATGGGGGTAGTGGGCTTACTTGCCTGTCTTATACTTCTAATTTTCTTCCTTCTTCCTTCCTGTTAGCTTCAACTCTGAAAGATGACCAGAAATCTCGGATAGAAAAGAACCTCATAAATGTTTTAATGGTAGGCTGGGATTCTTTATATAACATCTGTATCTGGATGTGTGTATTTTATAAAACTAGCTGAACAGATGTTTAACTCCATGTTGGCGCAGAATGAAAGTCCTGCTCCTGAACCTGACTGTGACATATTAGCTGTGAAAACTGCTCAGAAGCTGTGGGTGGACCGAATTTCTCTGGCCGGCAGCAATCTTTTCACAATAGGCGTACAGGACTTTGTGCCATTTGGTGGGTAACCAACGTCTACAGTATTATTTTAGAGAAATCGTCCTTATTTCTAAAAAATAAATAGACACAGAATAATAAAGTCAAAGAATTTTCCAAGTACGGTCATTTTGTAGATGAGCTGTGCGATTTTTTTTTTTTTTAATTTTCTGCCCATCGACTTTAAAGATGATCAAAATTTTAAATACTTAGTTGAGGTCTTAACATTTACTCTGTTCGTTTGTAGTTCAGATGTTATTTGAAATGCATTTGGAAAGACAGTTATTTTAAAAGTTTATGCTTTGTTGTCTAGGCAGGTATTTTGAAATAAGTTAAAAATAACAAAATGGTTCTTTTTTCTTTAAAATCCTATGTCAGTTACATTTTAGGAGGAGCCATGTTTTTAAAATTAGAGAGATTTTGGAGCTAGAGTTTATTTACATTTGATTTATGTCTTTTGAAATGCCTCAGGTGCAGAAGTCAGTAAGAATATCCAGTGTAGCTGTTTCCTTTCTGAAGAGCAGATGTGGATCAGAGAATAATGTGTGTGTGTCTAGCGTGTCTGGTGGTGTCTGACTCGGCCCTTTTTGTTTTATTTCTAGTGCAATGCAAAGCCAAGTTCCACGCCCCAAGTTTTCATGTCGACGTTCCCGTGCAGTTCGATATTTATCTGAAGGCTGATTGCCCACATCCCATTAGGTTTTCTAAGCTCTGTGTCAGCTTTAATAATCAGGTAATGGCACCTTTTAAGGTGTTTTTACCATGTGTGTATCTTATTGTGGCTTGCATTAAATGAGGTAAAATGTGTTTAGTGAATTTTAAGTCTTAATGGTTTCATATTAACAAATGTATTTTGATAGAGTCTATTTAAGAATAATTGTATTTATAGTTCTCAACTTCTGTATCCACAATTCGAGTTTTACACTTTTCTGTTCTAATTTTTGTTTTCACTCCCTACTTAGGAAGCCTAAAAACTTTGTCTACACATAGACAAAAAGTTTTGTGTCATGTATCTTGAATTTCAAATAAGATATATTCAGAATGAGTATAATTTTCAAAACCATTTGTTTTATTCTAACATTGGTATTAGCTTTATATTATAAAACTGTTACATGTTTGATGTTAAAGCAATGAAAGTGGAATAGATGGATATAAAGTAGAAAGTAAATGTGTGTTCCTCCAATTCCATTCCTTAGGGGGCGTCACAATTAACTTCGTGAATAGTCTAGACATCTTATGTGCACGCATATGTAAGCAACTTTTTTCTCCAGAATTGGGATCGTACTATATTTCCTACATTTGAACATTTTTATAGTGTGATATAGTCAAGTGCTTGATTACATTCTGTTTCAGTTATAAGCTCACTTCTAATTTTCTGGTCACACAAAGTATACTGAGCTGTAACCAGCAAGCATTTATTGAGAGTTACAATATTCTTAGCATCATGGTGAACCTGAAAAAGTTTAGCATATGTCAACCCCACTAAAATATAAGCATTTTGGGAGCAAGGCCAGGACTGGCTCACAGATTGCCTAAATGTGTGTGTAGGCTAGAAATACTGTTATGGCAGGCATGCCGAAGAGGAAGTTTCAAAATTGAAGATGCAATTAAGGTAGGTTTAAAAAGATGAGAGGGAAAGGATGTGTTTGGCAATGAGGAAACGCTGAATGGAAACAGGAGTGAATGTTCTGTTTTGGGGCAAGTGAAGACAGCAGCCTCACGGGAGCAGAGGGATCATAGGTGGGGTGAGTGGGAGTCAGGCTGGGTGGCTTAGAGGAACCTGGAGAGTTAAGCAGAGTCAGTCTGGGAAGCATCAATAGAAGTCTTTTAAGATTGATTTATTCATTCATTTATTCGTTATCTATCTGTTTATTTATTAGATGGTGGTAAAGAAAGAATGTTACCTGTTTAAATAGGTTTTTTTTGACTCATAAGAACTGAGCAATGTCCCTGTAATAGAATTGGTTAAATGAACCTGGGTCACTTGAAGATTAGTATGTTTTATTCAACTTCAAACCATTACTCAAGGATTCCAATTATTTTGAGAATTTTAAAGCAAGAGCATGAAATTTATGTTTAAGAAACTTTATTCCAGTAGCAAAATAGAGGGAAAGGAATGATATTTTAGAAACCAGAGGCTCTTTGTATGAACCCAGGTACGAAAGTATGAGGATTTGGATTAGGGTGCTAGTGATGGGAATGGAGATAAAGGGATAAGAGGCATTTAAAAATAGGTAAGTTTGGATTGCTGAGTGTATATAGAGGATACAGAATGGGGATAGGATGGATAAAGGACGGGCTATTTGGTTTTTGCAGGCCCAAAACAGTTTGTTTATTTTTCCAGCTTTATTGAGATATGGCATATAAAATTGTGTAGGTTTAAAGTGTGCATGATGATTTTATACACATATTTTGCAAAATGATTACCATAGTAAGGTTAGTTAACACATGCATCACCTGACATAATCACCTTTTTGTTGTTGTCTTTGTGAGAACATTTAGGATCTACTCTTTTAGCAACGCGCAAGTAAATAATACGGTAATTATAGTCCCCATGCCATACATTAGATCCCCAAAACTTATTTGTCTGATAACTGGAAGTTTATACCCTTTGACCGACATCTTCCCATTTCTGCCAACGCCCAGCATATGGCAATCCTCATTCTACTCTCTGTTTCTATGAGTTCTGTTTCTATAAGTTGTAGATTCCACATATAAATAAGATCATACAGTATTAGGACAGGAGCTTTGTATGTGCTGTTTCTTATGCTTGGATTGCTCTTCCCTCCTCTTTTACTTGCTTAGTTCCTCCTCATGTTTTATCCCCTCAAAAGCCTCACTTCCTCAGGGACACCTTGCCTGACCTACATGACTGATTGACCTAGCCAGGCTCACATAACCCTTCATAGTACTCGTCACAGCTGTGGTTTCACTCTTGTCATGTGATTATTTGGTAAATTGCTTGTTTTTCTTACTAGAATGTAAGCTCCAAGAGGACAGACAATTTTTTTTTTACTCACTATGAAATATTCTAAATCTGGAATTTAGAGGGTCAAGGAAGGCACTCTCATTTTACTTTTCACATCATAGCCTACTATTGCATTTCTTTTCCTTCCTTTTTTTCCCCTTTTAGCAACAAAGGTCACATCTATAATTAAACTAATAAAAATATTAAAATGAAATATAAAGCAATTTGTTTTTAAAGTTGTATTCTGAATATATGTTATTTGAAATTCAGGATGCAAATCACAAGGCAAAAAGTAGTGGGTGCGAGGCTTCATAAGCCTGGAATAGAAATGAAAAATAGAAGGAAGGTATAAAACTTAACTGTATTAGAATCTTCTGTGAAGATAATTCACCTGCTGGGATAGAAGATGGCTCTTGGAAAGTTCTCAGTATTTATTGAAAGGATGAGAATGGTGATCCCTTAGATATGTATATGAAAGATGTCTCTGTTTATTCATCTGTAAGGAGTGTGCTTTTCTGGGAAGGTAGCTAGACATTCAGTTCTGGACATGCTGAACTTGAAGTGATAGTGGAATTATCCCTGAGACAATTGTGGATATAAGCTTTTAGTTAAGGAATAGGTCAGAATTAGAAGTTTTTATGTGGGAGATATTAGCACAGAGGTGCCGAATATGTAGACATGGATAGACTTTGCAGTGAAGTAAACATAAAGAGAAAAGCAGAACCAAAAGCCAAGGACTGAAACTTTTGGAACCTCTGAATTAGGGGAACAAGAGGGAAAAAAGACCTTTGAGGGAAAAGCAGGAGAGTGAGAAACAGGAGCTATTATAGTGTCACAGAAGCCAGGTAAAAAGGAAGCTCTTTAAGAAAAGATGATAGACAGTAGCATCCGATGCAAAACAAAGAATAAGTCTTTGTTTCTGTCTTCAGGAAAGGGATGGCTAAATAAATGTTTTCAGAGGTCAGCTTCTGTGTGAACCATCTTTATCTTGTGGCAGCAGTGAGTGGTTAACTGCTACCATCTGGCATAAAAATACTTTTTCTTTTATTAATAGAAAATTCATAATGCTTCAGTATCAGTGCAGTTAACCTTAACAAGCTCCAAGTAATTCGGTGTTTAGTGTTAGCAAAACATATGACATTTGAGTTCATAAACCGTGACCCTTGCTCACCTCTTTTTCAGGAATACAACCAGTTCTGTGTAATTGAAGAAGCATCCAAAGCGAGTGATGTTTTAGAAAATTTGACTCAGGGAAAGATGTGCTTAGTTCCTGGTAAAACAAGGAAGTTTTTATTTAAATTTGTGGCAAAAACTGAAGATGTGGGAAAGAAAATTGAGGTTAGTTATGAAATGTGTTTAAAAAATATTTTAAGTGATGAAATAACGTGTATGTTAGAAAAAATTATAATAAAAATAATACAGAAGTTTATTAAGTAAAAAATGAAAATCTTCCACTTGGACTTCCCAAGGGAACCCATTCATTATGGTTTTTTGGTAGGTTTCCCCTCAGTGAGAATATGTTTTTTTGTTTTTTTATTCTTGCGGTACGCGGGCCTCTCACTGTTGTGGCCTCTCCTGTTGCGGAGCACAGGCTCCGGACGTGCAGGCTCAGCGGCCATGGCTCACGGGCCCATCTGCTCCGCGGCATGTGGGATCTTCCCGGACCGGGGCACGAACCCGTGTCCCCTGCATCGGCAGGCGGACTCTCAACCCCTGTGCCACCAGGGAAGCCCAGTGAGAATATGTCATATGTAATATTCAGTAGTTGGCTTTTTTCGCTTGATAGTGATATATTAGACATCATTTCCTGTTAGTACATGAGACCAACCTCATTTTTATTTTTTTTATTTTTATTTTTTTTGCGGTACGCGGGCCTCCCACTGCTGTGGCCTCTCCCGTTGCGGAGCACAGGCTCCGGACGCGCAGGCTCAGCGGCCATGGCTCACTGGCCCGGCCACTCCGCAGCACCTCATTTTTAATGGCTGCATAATCAGCTAAGGAATTTTAAACTGTATATATATATTCTATAATGTAGTAATTATATTTTGTAAAATATGACATAATTCACACTAAAGAGCTATATCATTTTGACCTTTAAACCTTGCTGATTGCATATTTTTAAAGAAAAAATGAAGATATATACTTCAAAGGATTCACTTAATGTAGATAATTAAAATACCTTTCAGAAATATGTGATGGAAGTCATATTTTTATTGAGCATAAACTCTGGAGCCAAGCTACGTGGGTTTCACCGCCAGCTCTCGGGCTTACCTGCTTGTGGCCCTGGGCCACTTGACCTCTTTGTGTCTCCGTTTCTTCATCTATAAAGTGGGGATAGTAACATTACCTACTTCTCAATGTTTCATGAGAATTAAATCAGTTAGTTAATGTAAATTTCCTGGAATAGTGACTAGGGCGAGGTGAGCGCTCATGAAGTGCTGCTTTCCCATGGCTGGAACGGGAATGGTCGGCTAACGTGAACTTGAGACCATTTCCAAGACAGAAACTTAAGACCGTACCCCCTACATTCTCATAACAATTTTTGTGAAATCTGTTGATTTTATTATTAACCAATATCCAGAGTTTTTGCTTATTCATTAGAAAAAAAATTCTGCATGATTTTGGCTAAATCCCTCGTGACATGGTACCTAAGGAAGCCTACCAGATGTAAATCATAATTAATAATACTATTTTGAGTATATTTGTTAATGGATTTAGTGGAAAGGACATTTATTAACATTCAGTTAATAAAGAATTTCATTGCTAATACTGTTGATGTCGTCGGGAAGAATATGTGTGGCCACTAGGAGTTAGCTTGTGAGTATGTTAACAGGTAGCAGAACATTCATTGATTTCACTCAGCAGCCACTGCTGCAGTGACTGCTCCTTCAGGCACCACGCCGAGCACTGAGATAGCAGCACTGCACCGTCGTGTCCAAGCTGGGGAGTCAGCTCATTATCCTTGTTTAGAGGTGAAGAGGTTGAAACCTCACACACGGCTAGCCAGTGTCACAGCTGAGAAGGGTCTGGGATCGGACTGCCACAGCAGGTGTTCCGACCTGTGTCACGTCGTGGGTCCAAGGAACGCCACAGCCCAGCAGCCCACCCTGTAATTTGTTGGGAGCGGATGGTGACGAACTGGTATGAGATGGCGTTTCTGATGGACCTCCTCCTTCTAGATCACATCCTTGGATCTGGTTCTGGGCAGCGAGGCAGGAAGATGCGTGGTCTTGAATTGGCAGGGGGGAGGAGGAGATGCCGCTTCCACCCAGGAAGCCTTACAGGCTGCCCGTTCTTTCAAAAGAAGGCCCAGGCTCCCCGACAGCGAGCTTCACTGGGACAGCATAGTGATCCAGGCGAGCACCATGTGAGTCGGCCTGGTGGGCAGATGGGAGGAGGTCACCTCACTTCTTTGGAATACTTTGTTTCTTTTAAAAAATCAGTGACTTAGCTAATATTTTTTCCCAAAGGATCATTTCCAGAGTTCCAAACATTTCTGTCCATCTGCGACATGACCCTCCTGCCCTGACTAACGAAATGTACTGTTTGGTTGTGACCGTGCAATCCCACGAGAAGACCCCCATCAGAGATGTGAAGCTCACAGCTGGTTTAAAACCCGGTAAACTTGCCTTTTTAAAATTTGAGCCGTGTTAATACACCATAAAATAAACATCAGTGATATCAACTGCAGGAAGTTTGTTTAAAAAATGGTTATGATCTAGTACTCTCTATGCAGTATTAACTGTCAAGATAACGTTTGAATTTCCTGTATTTTTAAAACGCCAACATTCATACTTTTAGGACAGGATGCCAATTTAACTCAGAAAACTCATGTGACTCTTCATGGAACAGAACCGTGTGATGAGTCCTACCCAGCTCTACTCACTGACATTCCTGTCGGAGACCTACATCCCGGGGAGCAGGTGAACTTGGCCAACTGTGATTGGAGAGGAAGTTGGTTAGGCTGTAGTGTTAAGTATGTAGTGAGTTTTAGTTTTAGAGCATTTTAACAGCATATCCCGAGACTAAAAAAGTGACTCAACTAATGCACATTTTATTCACATTTCACATATGTAATGTGTAAAATGTCTTCAGTTTTTATGCAAGGGATTTTAGAACAAACGATGCTAATATGGAGAATTCATTGCCTGATAAAATAACTAAATAACACGAAATTTGTAGCTTAGTTAAATAACCTTTCGGTCAACTTTTATTTCCAAGCCAAACACAAAGAATTCTTGGGAAATGGAGAATGGTAATAAAAAAAAGATGGAGTAGTAGTGATCCCACTCATGCTGCGGCAGGAACAGGTATAAAAAGTGTTCAAGAATTTAGCCAATTGGTACAGTAAACTCTAAAAGGTGGGAGCATTATCCTAGAATATATATCAGGAGGCAATCTCTGTAATAGTAATTAAACTAAAATACTTTTATTTTGTTGCAGCTGGAAAAAATGTTATATGTTCGCTGTGGAACAGTGGGCTCAAGAATGTTTCTTGTGTATGTTTCTTACCTGATCAATACAACTATTGAAGAAAAAGAAATTGTTTGCAAGTGTCACAAGGTACTTATTTCATAGCTACTTCGAGAAATACCATATTTGGAGTGTTTCCTATTTTGTATTATCTTAGTTAACCTGTAAAATAAACAGCATAGGTGCTTACAGTCCATTACAAGTTTTAATGAAATATCTGTTGATTTTTTTTATCATTTATGTTTATTATAAATGATGTGATATGGTATTCATCGCTCAAACATTTGAAAATTGGCCTATATGGTTTGTTTTTGTACAGAGAACCAGAAGGTTTGAGATCTCATGCAAAACAGTCTTGAGACTCTAAACCTATCTGCTTCTTTATAAAATCACACATTAGATAAAATCTGTAAGTTGGCTAATGTGAAGAAGGTCTTGTGGGAGGGGGGTCTCCCTTTGTGGAATATTTCTTCTGTTAGTAAAAAAGATTCTTTTGAACATCATTTTTTGGTGAGTGCACATTGGTGAGGAAGAAATAAGAAAGCTATCAGGTCCAGCAACTCCGAGGCAGCTGCTATTAACTCCTTGATGTATTTCTTATCGGTCTTTTTTGTGTCAAGAGATTGCAGGGGGATGTGTTTTTATATAGACTTAACCACATTGTATATAATGCTTGTATCCCCTTTTATTAATGGAAAATGATGATATTTCCATGACCTAGGAATTTGGGGGTTTGTAGTTTGGTCACTGCACAGGGCTGGGCCGCAGGCTGTTTTATAAGTCACTGGGAAACAAAACCATCCTAAGAGAGTTCAGGAGGATTCCCCAAGTGGCAGGGAGGAAGGCATATAATACACTGTCAAAAATTTCACCAGCCTGATGTAATTAAAAGACCCTGCTGGTGACCTAGGAGATAAGGGTGCCAGTCTCAGCACTGCCTCCTAAATCCTGAACTCAGGTCATCCAGGTAACTCCTTTCGACCTCCGTCTCCTCATCTAGAAAATAAGAATGTTAAAGTTCTGTGCACGTTTAAAGTCCTAAGCCTTGGATGTTGTTTCTACTTCTGATAATGAAGCTGATGGTGGACTTGGAATGTACTTTGAAATAATTGTTTGCTACCTTGTAACTATTCCTGAACTTGAGCGAAACCAGTGTGCTGCTACATCTTTAAGCAATGTTCTCAAGACATGAGATCATCGAGGTACATGCCACTTTTTTAGAGAAGAATGTATTTATTCTTCTATCAGCCAGTCCATTACCAAGATGTGCTTGTAAGGGACGCTAACTCTGAGGAATAGAAATAGATATTACACAAGAAAAGAATTAATTGGTCAAATATGTTTGGAAAATACTGGGTTAAAAGGTGTTAGTTAAACAGATATTTTTACTTCAGGACTTAGCACAGCATTTAAATTTGCTAGTGTGTATTGTGAAGCTTCGCAAAAGGCTGTAATGATTATTTTTCAAAATATTTTACCCGGGAGGGGGAAGGGTAAGCTGGGACAAAGTGAGAGAGTGGTATGGACATACATGCACTACCAAATGTAAATAGATAGCTAGTGGGAAGCAGCCGCATAGCACAGGGAGATCAGCTCAGTGCTTGGTGACCACCTAGAGGGGTGGGACAGCTTGATAATAATTGAGAGAGGAAATAATTTGAAGCATATAATAATAATAATAATGATGTTGGCATTTCACTGAGTGTTTTGTGTGCATTATCTCATTTAATTATCACAACAACCTTGGGAGGACTGAGCCTTAAAAGAGACCATATACCCTTCCCAAGGTCACATCACTGTGTCCAAGGTCTACATGGCTAGTAAGTACGTATCCAGCCAGGAATAAAATCCAGATCTATTTGGCCTTACAGCCTGAGTCTTAACCCAACGTGGTCTTTTTTAAAGGTTTCTCACCAACAGTGTGGGTTGTTTTTTTAAAAGATGTAGTTTGTTCTCTGTTGTTTTTTTTTAACATCTTTATTGGAGTGTAGTTGCTTACAGTGGTGTGTTAGTTTCTGCTTTATAAACCCACTGGTTTTTGAACAGCCCTGTGCAGAGGAGATGGAGCAGGATGGTTAAGAGTCCAGGCTCCAGGGTCAGATTTGGTTCAGTTTCTGCCTTTGTCACCTACTAGCTGTGTGACCACTTCATCTTAAAATGGCAGTGACACTGGTGTCTGTTTCCTTGAGTTACTATGAGCATTTCCTAATATGTGTGCAGTGATTATAATGCTATGTCATATTACGTTATTATTATTATTATCATTATCATTGTTTTAGTTGTCTTGAGTCAAGATGAGGTGAAGGACTTAGACAAAAAGAAGACCCAGCTTCTAGGCTTTGCACCACTAGTTTTGTGGCTTAAGGCCAATCACGTAACCTTCCTTAACCTCTGGTTCTTCTTCTGAAAAATGGTGACAGTGCCTGCCCTGCCCACTGTTGCCTGATCCTGAGATAGATAATGTATGAGAAAGCACTTTGCGGTGTGAACTGTTACAAAACCATAGAAAATTAGAGCTATTAGTCTGCTCTCTACATAGATTCTTACAAATACTACCTAAGGGAAAGATCCTAGCTTCTTAATTTTTAAGTTGGAATTATTTATTGATCAGTAATCGATTGTGTTTTGTATGCCTTCTGTTTTTAAAACTTCATTTGTTGTTAAGATTTAGAAAAGCCATTGATCGTGCCCTTTACATTTCCTTGCAGGATGAAACTGTAACAATAGAAACTGTCTTTCCATTCGACGTTGCAGTTAAATTTGTTTCTACAAAGGTACGTTCCTGTGAAGCATACTGGAAATCATTGAGGTTGTAGAAATTAACAGAAAAGAGAAAATGGATTAACTTACTTCCTGACAGACCTTTGTCTCCATCCGTGACAGTTTGAGCACCTGGAAAGGGTTTATGCCGACATCCCCTTCCTGCTGATGAC